TGTACTCGGGCTATACTGATATTGTTACCATGGTGTTGGGGCAGAAAACTCCAACAATTACCATTATTATAAGCATACTTGAGTGGTTCAATTAATTATGTGGGTAATGTAGACTTCTTTAATTGTTGGCATCTTGCACTACGCCGCTCAAGCCTCGATCAACAACGAAGCTGATTGGTCTCATGCTCGGCTAGGTTTTAGCGAGGTTGCAGAAAGTCCGGTCTCCTTTCTTGCCATATCGTCCTCGCTTATTCACCTGCAGTCGCCGACAAGGAGTGTGAAGCTATGGCGCCGCCGTTAGAGGCACAGCTAGGCTCGCTCCGCATCTTTCACGGAATGACGTTGAAGTTTCACGGAAATTTCGCGTCGCGTCGGTGTCAGCGGCGGCGTCGTTGGTAGTGAGCGGAATATCATCCTGTTCATGACTATAGAATTCAGCAGGTCCCACCTACCTGAAATCGACATTATGCGAAGCATGCGGAGGTAAGGTGACCATGTTACAATTTTCTTTATTGACTGACACGTCACGAAATGACGCTAAACATATGTACATATGTTGCACGCATAGACATATGTTGAGGAGTTGCAGATGTTAATATAACCAGTTGTTTGCCTTTGCGCAACGATAACAAATGGAACATGCCTATTAGCAACACCAGAAGCTGCTATGAAGCACTGATGCTCACGGAGATGCTGACCCTGGACAATGCTACATAAATCAACTTCAGCGTATGGCAAGTAACCACAATTGACGTTAATCCGGCGTGACGGCTGTATCAAACGAGTACATATGGAATCTTTTTAAAATTGGATAGGCAGCACTGCAACCACTATTGACGTGTCACGATAATTAGCGTCTATTTCAAAAGTAGTTCTCAGATCTAATATAGCTCTGTGGTACAATGCTTGACAGCAACGCAGAATTCTTGGAATTGATTCCCGCTGAGACCTTCACATTTATTCTTTGCATTCATCGGGGTGACACTACCGATGTCTGTTATTTCTTAACTCTCGCGCGTTAAAATTGCCCATGTGTGTTCTCGTCGTTCCTGCGTAGATACTAAGTTTCAATCACCTAGGCACACACCCGCATGCCAGCGGCACATACCCGCTTTTCGGTATGTGCCTCTGTCGGTCGGGAAGTGTTTGACGCCGTACGCGATGGGATTGTGACATTATTCATGTCTTGACCATCGCGTCATATTCATCAATCCATCTTACCCTCCCATGCTAGTTTTGGTTCACGCCAACTTTAAGGGGGTGACCACAACAGCTCCCAAACGTAAGCGGCTAGATAGATACATACGCTTAAGTTCACCGAAGTTCGCTAAGGAATGCTTCACATTTATAATTCAGATGCAATTAAAATGATGTTGTCCCGGCGCGGCGATAGGACTGCGAGAGAAGTTGCTGAGGCTTTTTAAATGCGAAGCACTTCTTAGTGAACTTCGGCGATTTTGAGCGCGTATCTATCTATCTATCTATCTATCTATCTATCTATCTATCTATCTATCTATCTATCTATCTATCTATCTATCTATCTATCTATCTATCTATCTATCTATCTATCTATCTATCTATCTATCTATCTATCTATCTATCTATCTATCTATCTATCTATCTATCTATCTAGCAGCTTACGTTTGGGTGCTCTCGTTGTCACCCCCTTAACTTGGCGTGAACCAAAATTAGCATAGGAGGGTAAGATGGTTTGACGAATATGACGCGCTGGTCAAGACATGAATATTGTCACAATCCTGTCGTGTATGCGCCGTCAAACACTTCCCGCCAGACAGTGGCACACACCCACGGGAGGGTATGTGCCACTGACATGCGGAAATGTGCCACAGGTGATTGAAACTTAGTATCTATTAAGGAACGACGAGAATACACATGGGAAATTTTAACGCGCGAGAGTTAAGAAATACCCGATATCGGTAGCGTGTACCCAACGAATGCAAAGAATAAATGTCAGGGTCCCAGGTGGAATCGAACCCAAGCATTCTGCGTGGCAGTCAAGCATTTACCACAGAGCACCGCCAGGTCTCGGAACTACTTTTCAAATAGACGTTAATCTTCGTAAAACGTCGATAGTGGTTGCAGTGCTGCCTACCCAATTTTATAAACATTACACATGTGCTCCTTTCATACATACATTACATCGGGTTAACGTCAATTGTGGTTAGTTTGCATGCGCTGAAGTTGCTTTATGTGGCAGTGTTCAGGGCCAGCATCCTCGCGAGAATCAGCGCTTCATATCAGCTTCTGGTGTTGCTAATACGTATGTCTCACTTAACAGTGTTGCGAAAGTGCAAATAACTGGTTATATAAACATCTGCAACTCTTCAACATATGTCTGTGTGTGCAGCGTTTGTACATATATTTAGCGTCATTTCATGACGTGTCACAGAATGAAAAAAAAAATGCAACACGGTCACCTTCCCTCCGCATGCTTCGCATAATGTCGATTCCTAAGTACGTGGGATCTCCCGATCTTTCATATCCACAAATATAGCGACACGTGTGTCGCGAAGCCTTCGGTAAAACTACATCAATTAGAGATAGATTATCTAACCACTAACCTCTGATATTTTACGCCCCCTTTATTGCTATTTATGTTTATGTTTCCTTCAACTGCCTTCTTTGTTTCTTGTTTCTTTGTCGCGCAGGTTTCGTAGTTATATATAGCATAAATTGTAACAATTTCCTGGTCCTGATGACCATCGAACCTGCCGTATGAGTGGTAAGCAGGTATTACAACTCTGAGCTACTAAATTTGTTGAAACTTCTCTAAAAAAAAAAATTGGCCCCGCACCTGCATGTTAATCTGCAAATGTCGTCGAAAGACGATAGTCTTGCGTGTGGACAGAGTGAACAAAAGATTTATTTGATGTTATGCACGAGAAAATCGGTGAATGGTATTCTGGAGGCGCTGCGTTAGAGTGCCTCAAGCGTGCAGCGGAGGTGAACGAGCGCATCAAGTCCCGTCACACGTGAGACATGAGCGCCATCTGGCAGTTTTCTTGGAAAACGAAGCACGTGGCTCGAATACGGATGTGCGCACCCGTCTCGGAGGCGATAAGGTGTAGAACGCAAGGCGACGGGCAGGGGCCATCACCGTTTCGTCTTAGCAAAGCATTGTAAACACTCGCCTTTTCGTGCAAACGTTGCACGGTCAGCACAGCGTGATAAGCGCTACGTTCCTTAAAATTACTTGTGTATGCATTTTCTAGTAAAAGACACACATGCAGAAATATACGTGTTGTTATGGTGCCCCAGACATGCGCAATAATTGTTTTTAATTGACAATTGCACAAGTATGAAGGCTAGATCTTGAGAAACATTGGTGGGCACTGCGGAAGGGGTCAGCCGTTTCAAGTACCCTGTGCCGTTAGGAGGGGACAGACAGACAGACAGAAAGACCAAATTTTTGCGTCGAAGGTCTCCAAGGAAGACAAAAACAATGTCATTCAGTGCAAGGAGCCTTCTTAGCGCGTAAAAGATGCTTACGATGCGTCAAAATATTTTTGGAATCGAGCAGCGAGTGGATGTTTTCAAGGCCCACCTTTTACAAAGCGCTCAGACATATTTTACCATCATCAGCAGCAAAACCATCACCAAAGTGAACAGCTGCCTAGGTTCGCGTGTTTCCCTACGTGCCCTTCGCAGAAGGAATAATTATAGCGTCACTTAGGAACCGTGATTACAATGTGTAATACATTGAAAACGCCTGTGTTAAGCAAACCGTCCTTATGGCACGGTTGAGGCCGAGAACAGAAACAAGGCGATGAGTATGACACCTATTCTTTAAAGCGAAGCTCGAGCATCTTCAAATTTTCTTTTTGCTTGTTTTGTTTAGGCCTTAAAACAATATGGCCCACTGTGAGAGATTGGCCAATATTTCGTAGTTTAAAGTTTAGCAGATAACTTGAACAATGTTGAATTATAAGGAACAAATAAGTTTACCAACCATCTTCCTAAAGGGAACCCCGATAGGTGCGCATTGGGTTGACCCCATTGAAACAGCCGTTTGAAACGCAAAGACACTGGAGGCGGGTTGGGTTTCGCGCAATTTTCATCGCAGATAAACGAGCCGAAAGAATCCACTCGACGTGCGGTCAAGCGTTGCGGGCGGTGGAGAGAGTGAAGCGAGAGAGAAGTGCGTTGCCAGAAGGTGGAGCTGCAACGCCATCTAGGTGTGTTGGGCGGAGCCGGCAGCTACTGCGGACGAGGGAGAGAGTTCCGTCAACACGCAGCTACGATTTGACCTACTTGGCATCGTTCCAGCAAGTGCGGTGCGGTGCTTTTGCACAGAGACACGGACGGACAGCGTTACACAGGCTAGTGATAGAGCTGCTTCACATCTGAAATAGATCAATAAAAGAGAATACTAGGTATTGTGTCAAGTCTGCTTAAGCTTCTTCCTCGAAGTGCGATCAGGTAACCTACAGTGGGAGTGAGCTAATTGTTGCTTTCTTAATCTAGAAGTGAGTTGTGCGGGTTTACCACAATTTTCGCGGCACAACCATTAAGGCAATCAGTTTACATACCACGTGAAAGTCAAGTATATTGATGAAGAATAACAATAATATGATTTGGGGTCCCAAAACTACAACGGTTATAAGAGACCCCATAGTGAAGGCCACCTGGGATCACTCAGGCCGATCAATCAGAACGCAGTCGGGATCGTCCCACGGGTCAGCGTCCGGCCAGCGTAACCGCTATGTCACCGCAGCAGACGACACTGATTAGGGACAAATGAGACTTGGTAAAGATATAATAAGGAAATCCTCGCGATCTTTTCATGAGATTCAGCTAAGTTAATAAATACAGGGGGAGGTCATAAAGCACTCAAGGCGGAGCCTGAACTCGTTCAACTCCACGAAAGGATGCAGAAATGAATCCAAAGCCAAGCGAAAGCAAAGCATTTTCTGTTTTTGTTTCGTTCCGTAAATGCTGACTTCCTCGCTGATTTCTTTTTCTCTCCGGTGTATTCACAGCCATATGTTGCACAGACGCTTCGTGACGTCACGTGAAGCACCAAGAAAAAACTAATTTCCCAGTTGTTTCTCGCACATTACGACTGACACGTATTCCTCATTTCTCGTGCAAAGCATCGATAGAGAAAGGTGATCACAATTATTTGCCTGCAACTACGCCGGTAAGTAATTATACCACATGTGCTGTATTGTTTCAGTGTTAAATGCGAAGCATTTATGAGTGAACCAAAGACACTTTGGCCGTTTCTCTATCTATCTATCTATCTATCTATCTATCTATCTATCTATCTATCTATCTATCTATCTATCTATCTATCTATCTATCTATCTAATCTATCTATCTATCTATCTATCTATCTATCTATCTATCTATCTATCTATCTATCTATCTATCTATCTATCTATCTATCTATATCTATCTATCTATCTATCTATCTATCTATCTATCTATCTATCTATCTATCTATCTATCTATCTATCTATCTATCTATCTATCTATCTATCTATCTATCTATCTATCTATCTATCTATCTATCTATCTATCTATCTATCTATCTATCTATCTATCTATCTATCTATCTATCTATCTATCTATCTATCTATCTATCTATCTATCTATCTATCTATCTATCTATCTATCTATCTATCTATCTATCTATCTATCTATCTATCTATCTATCTATCTATCTATCTATCTATCTATCTATCTATCTATCTATCTATCTATGCAGCCAGCCAGCCGCCGACGTCTGGCCGCTCTCGTGATCGTCGGTTCAAAGCATACAAAATTTGCTTGTTAGGGCAGTTGTGCAAGACAAGCACGTCGAACAGTTAGAGAACACGGCGCTTAACGAACACAAAAACGCATGAGATTAGAACAACGACATGCGTTGACTGCCAAATGTTGCTTTATTGTGCGTTAACAGAAATAAAGAGGGCGATAAAAAAGAACGGAGGGGAACCAGGGAAGGAGGATGACATGCGCATGGTTGTGACGTTGATGACGCTACTGATTATTGTCTGAGAGATCAGCATTGTTTCACAGTTGGCATGAAAAAAAGGGGCACCGACACAATCGGCGCCTTTGCACATCATCATGTAGGTTTTCAGAAAATTGGCGTGTCAGGTTGTCCTTATACGTTAGCAACACTTTTTTTTTCTTTTTTTCAGCTGTGTGCGTGGGGCGCACACTGTCTGCGCAATGAATGGGCGATATTGCTACTGCATGTTTTTGTTTGTTTTGACGTTGTGCGCGTGCTCTCGTAGACGAGGCATCTGGCCAATGTGTGGTCGTCGTGGGCATTTCATGCACGATCTCTTTTTTCGCATAGGGTGGACAATGGTTCTTGTCACCGGAGTCATTTCAATTCACACATCTACATAAATGTTTGTTCGGGGCTGAAAAGGCTACACACACACTTGCTCTCGCAGCGGCATCTTGTTCCGACACGACACGTCATGAACGTAGGGTATGACCACTGATTTCGATATGTCAACATGAAGTCGTTGTTTTTCTTTGGAAGCTCTCAAGTTCGGAAGAACACTGCAATTGAGATGGGGTTTCACCGAGGCACTTAAATTGGTCATTGAAGCTGCAAACGATTCTGTGAAGGCCGCTGCGGGAGAGAACGTTCTTTCTTGCTCCGAATGCAACAGCGCGTTTAGCTGTTAAATGCGAACTTCAGCGACTTTGAGCGTATCCATCTACCCATCTATAGCCGCTTACGTTTGGGTGCTCTCATGGTCACCCCCTTAACTTGGCGTGAACCAAAACTAGCATGGGCAGGTAAGATCTTTTGACGAATATGACGCGCTGGTCAAGACATGAATATTATCAAATCCTGTCGCATATGTTTTCGAACACTTCCCGCCAGACAGTGGCACATACCAAATGGCGGGTATGTGCCGCTGGTATGAAGGTACGTGCCACAAGTGATTTACATTTAGTATCTACCCAGGAACGACGAGAACACACATGGGCAATTTCAATGGGCGAGCGTTATGAAATAACCGACATTGGTAGCGTCGACCAGACGAGACTTTGAGGCGGACTTTCGCCACCGTTCACTTGAAACTAACTGGTTTCTGTTTAAATCTGAATTTCTGCGCCTAGTAAAAAGATACGTTCCCACCATAACAATCGGTGAACGGAAACGATCCTCGTGGTTTAACACAACACTAAAACGTTTGAACAATAAAAAGAAACGTCTATTTCGTTCTGCTAACACCTCTCAATCTGACTTTCAGTGGCAGTAATACCACGCTGCGGTCATGCTGCAGTATGAGAAGCACGTCGCAGACGCCTAACGTGGCTTTTTTTTTTTCAACCACGCTGCCCTCCATGTTGCACACTAACCCGAAACGCTTTTGGCAGTGCATTAATCCCCAGGTGTCTAGCAGTGTTTTTCTCCGTGACAGTGCTGGCTGCCCTGTTCCGGAATCTGATACTGCTGATGCTCTAAACACTGCTTTCTGTTCTGTGTTCACTAATGCTTGCGCCGAAATTCTTCCTCATTTGCCACCTTCTAATTACTCCCCCCCCCCCCCACCCGCTATGGAAAAATCACTTTCGATGCGAACGGCATTGTTAAAATTATTGAGTCATTAAAAAATTCATCTTCGTGTGGCATTGATGGCATAAACGCTAAGGTAGTAAAAAATACCAAGCACATCACCAGTCTCTTCCTAAGGTTAATATTCCAGCAATCCGTTTGCACTGGATCTATCCCCTCTGACTGGAAAGTTGGTAAGATAATTCCCATTTTTAAAAAGGGCGACCGTACAAATCCTAGCAACTACCGTCCCATTTCCCTTACCAGGGTTTGTTCTAAACTAATGGAGCACATTCTACATTCACAGATTGCCAATTTTCTGTCATCTGTGAACTTCTTTCATCCTAACCAGCACGGGTTTCGCAAAGCTCACTCTTGCAATACTCGGCTCGTATTATTCCTGCATTATGTACATTCTAACCTGGATCTGAACATCGCCAACGACGCTCTTTTTTTGGACTTCTAAAAATCCTTCGATAAAGTATCGCACATTCTTCTCATGCATAAAGTTTCGAACCTAAACCTACACCCCGACACAGTTAATTGGATACGTGAATTCTTGACCGAATCCACCAACTCATTTTCCTCGTCTCTATCCCCTGTTTTATCTGATGTGCCGCAAGGCTCCGTACTTGGACTGCTACTCTTTCTCATATATATTAATGACTTTCCTGCTAATGTATCGTATAAGATACGCCTTTTTGCACATGACTGTTCTGTATCGTCCAAGAACACATTCTCTAGACTCTTCCCTTCTTCAGGATGACCTCCTTAAAATGCAGGCGTGGTGCAACCAATGGTACATGTCCCTCAACGTCAGTAAGTGCTCCCACGTGTCCTTTCATCGTCACCATCCTTTCAGCTCCTTCTTACTCTCTCAACAACCCCCAGGTGGTCGATATTTCCGGAGCCCTCCACTACGGCGTCCCTCATAATCATATGGTGGTTTTGGAACGTTAAACCCCACATATCAATCAATCAATCAACTCTCTCAACAACAACACATTAACCCAATGCAAGACATTTAAATACCTAGGAGCACATATATCTAGTGATCTGTCCTGAGCCCATCATATTCTCCAACAAATTCCTTCAATCGTCTATTATGTTATCTACGCCGTGACCTATCATCAGCATCCCCTGCAGTCAAACTACTTGCATATAAAACGTTGATTTGATTCAAACTAGAACATGCCTCTGCTATTTATGGCAATCACCAAGTTAATATAAACAATTCCCTCAAATCAGTCCAGAACCGCGCTGCCAGGTTAATTCTTTCCGATTATTCTTGCAGGTCAAGTGTATCCGCCCTAAAATCCCAGCTTTGCCTCCCCTCACTTTCTTCTCGCTGCAAGACTGCTCGTCTAATATTATTTTTTAGGTTTTCCCATTGGCTGTCTCCAGGAAACCAAATCATCATTCCTGCACATCGTTCCTCTCGCCACTCGCCCCAAAATGTTGTGTATCTACCCCGTGCACGTACGGCCCCCTACCAACGTTCATTTTTCCTGCATAGTGCTGGAGAATGGAATGCCCTTCCATCCGATATCGCCCTCATCACCGACATTGCTCAATTCAAAGCTGCCATTGAAGACCATCTTTCAAGTCATGAAACCTAACCTGACCCGCCAGTTTTTTTTTTTTTTTGTTTTTTTTTCGTTCGCCCACCCCTCATGTAATGTCCCATGTGGGACCTTTGAGGTATTATGAATAAATGAATAAATTTACGTCGCCGAGCTCCAGCGTTCGTCTTCGCACTGTAATATCCCCAACCTCGAAGAAACACTCGGCGATCGTCTCGTATGCAGCCTCCGAGACGAGCACCTGCAGAATCAATTGTTCCTAAAAAAGCAGCTGACCATTGCCACGACCCAGGAAGAGGCTCTGGCGGCAACAGCGGCCACGAAAAGTACGAGGGTTGTCCGGTAGTCTGAAGAAAATGACTATGCCACAACCGTTGCCACGACAAACCAAGTTAAATGCCAGGAACCGGCCGCACTCGAGCAAACGGACCGTCCGGCAACGAGCAACGGCACATACGGGGATGGTGGGGCGCACCTCCGCGCCGACTGCAGTTTCAAGAACGCGCAGTGCAGAGCATGCAAGAGAACCGGCCACATCGCAAGAGTCTGCTGCATCGGTGGCCCTAGTGGCCAGCAGCGAAACCTGCCACCTCGACAGATGCCGAAGCGGCGTACAGCGTAACTGCGTGGCCCCATTATGAATGCTACTACAACAATCCCGTCAGCGCAGAAGACTCACTGGTGCTTCGCAAGCTTCAAGGAAAGGTTGCTATTGAGAGCCGGACTTGCGAAATGGAGGTGGACTCTGGATCGGATATCTCGATCCTCACCGAAGAGGCATTCTGCCGCCTCCATCAGCGCAAATAGAAAGCTGACAATGACTGACTTCCCTTCGACAGTGGCCGATTATCAGCTAAGTCCAGTCGATGTTATGGGGTCCTGCAACGTGAATGTGGAGTATAAAGAGTGTACGGGCCTGCTGACAGGACTGGTAGCAAGGGACATCCGCACCAAATTGCTGGGAGCCGCTTGTTTTCGACCTCTGGGAATTATCATTACCGGTGTCTACCAGGTAATAAAAAATTGCGGTTGACTCTGTTCCCTCAGAGTTCAGCAAGGTAATTGTAGATGGCCTGGTGAACTACGTGGGTCCACTAACCTCCTAGCACCTTAATCCAAACATTCAATCAGTGTGTCTCAAAGCATGAACACTACGTTTTGTAATACAACCAAAACTGAAGGAAGAGCTGGATCACCTCGTTCAGCAGTGAGGACCTGAGCCTGTGATAAATACAATGTAGGAGACGCCCATAGTAACCGTACTCAAAAGCAGCAATGACGTTAGAATATGCGGAATCTACAATACACAATTAACAAGGCTCTGAAGCAGCACTCGTATCTGATTCCCGTTGTAAATCAGTCGCTGTGATCTTTATTCGAAGGGAAGAGCTTCGCGAAACTATATCTTGTGCAAGTGTATCAGCAACTGTTCGTAGATGAAGCATCAGCAGATGCTCAGACCATCGTCACACATTGAGGGGCATATAGAGTAATGAGGCTGCCGTGCGGGATAAGCAGTACTCCCGGAATCTTCCAAATGCTAATAGGTGGGCTCCTCAAGAACATTCCTGGAGTAGTCACATACTTCGACGACATACTTATCACTGCTGTGACTCAAAAAAAAAACCTGCATTGCGTCTTCGCGAGGGGCTTCAGCGATTCAAGGACGCTGGCCTGTGGATCAAGGATAAAAAATGCCTTATAAATGTGTTGGAAGTCGAATTTCGGGGTTTTCGCTTAAGTGATGCTTCCCGCGGGTAGGAAGGTTGCTGCTATTCACGAAGCACCGCGTCTCAAGAATAGGCAAGAGCTGCAAGCGTTTCTTGGTGTGCTCAATTTCTATCACAGCTTAAAGGGCACAGTTGCCGAGCCTATTCACCGTCTTCTGGACGCAAAGGAAGAGTGAACCTGGGGAACAAGACAGCAAAAGGCATTTGATGCACGCAAGAGCCTCCTGTTCTCAGACACACTCCTGACACACTACGACCCAACTAAGCCTGTGGTTTTAACATGTGATGCAAGCTCCGTGGCCATTGGGGCAGTGCTTGGCCACAGACTAGAAGACTCCATTGCATTTTACTCGCGCACATTATCAGAGCCGGAGCGCAACTATGCCAAGATTGGTCTTAGAGCACTGGTCATAGTTTCGAGCGTGAAGAAATTTCACGTTTATCTCCATGGGCGCGAGTTCGTGATTGTAACAGACCGAAAGCCCCTCTAGGAAATTTTCGTGCCAGACAAGGGAACCTCGCCCATATTTGCACCTTGAATGCTCCGGCGGTCCATTCTTTTTAATCTGTACAACTACAGACTTGTCTATCGTCCACGGAAGGAGGTTGCCGACGCTGATGCGCTATGCAGACTGCCTTGGCCTGCAACTGTTTGCGCACCACCACCATTATTCGACGTTTTTATGCTGAAGGTGACCACGAAGACTCCTCCGCAGGCCACAGACATTGCTTTTTTGACGTGGTGGGAACCTGTGCTGTCTTGTGTTCTCAGCTAGGTTCTTAGCGGTTGGCCTTCAGAGCATCTGGATGGCGAGTTTCCGGCCTATGAGCAGATAAATAACAATATCTCGGTGTAAAAGGGATGCGTCATATGGGAAAATTGTGATCACTACAGGAGCTCGAGCTGAGGTGCTAGAGGCACTGCATAGTGCACAACCATGATATTCCGTATGAGGCACTCAGTCGTAGTTGTGTGTGGTGGCCGAAAATGGACGCCGACATTGAGCAAAAGGTGTACGTGTGCGGCACATATGCGAGGCATCTCATACCATATCCCTCTCAGGCCCCTGTGTGCCACTGGGAAAAAACAAGGACACCATGGTCACGCCTCCACGTAGATTTCACTGGGTCATTTCAAGAGGAAGTTTTTCATTGTTGTGGATTCTTTCTCCTGGAGGTGGTTCCTGTGTCGTTCATGACCGCCTCCAGTGTCATAAGGTGTCTGCGCCGCCTCATCACGACTCACGGACTACCTGACGTCATTGCATCGAAAAATGCAGCACAGTTTGTGACTGAAGAGTTTCGACAGTTCTTAGCGGATGGCCTGATCCGCCACGTGACATCTGCCCCTTTTCATTCAGCAACCAATGGCTGGCAGTGCGCATGGTCAAAACAACCAAGGACCCTTTGAAACGGATAATCCAGGGCGACTGGGACCGATGTCTCGCAAGTTTCCTGCTCCAGCAACATGTCACAACACGCACTAGTACAGGAAGGAGCCCTGCAGAGCTACTTTTCAATTGCCGTCCCAAGACACTGCTAGGCAGACCCGATAGGTTGAGAGACGATTAGGGCCAGACCGTCTGCACTGAAGGAGAGCAAAGACCAGCGAGCAGTTTTTCGTTCGGAGACGGAGTGTATGTGCGAAAGTACGCTCCTGGACCAAGCTGAATTCCTGCAAGTGTTTCTTAGGTGGTGGGGCCATTGTCATACCAAGTTCCCACACCTGACGGCAGGTAACTACGGCAACATGTGGACCTTGTCAACTCCGAGCTTGCTGAGCAGCCACATGCCAGCAACTCCACCAAGCTGAAAGGCTATCGCATTGACACAGATCAAATGGGATATCGCAGTTCTTCTCACCATATCAGGTGACCACCTCACCTAAATGACTTCCTCTGAAGTACAAAATTGGGGGGAGGGGGGATACTGTTGTGTACCACCAAGTAGTGTCGCTGTAGAGACCATCTGCCCGGGGGCGGAACAGTTATGTTGAATGTACCAGGCAGTGCTGGCTGCTGCCTTTTGCGCGGTTGTCATAATAAACCAGCTGAAAGAACCTTGATTGATTGATTTATATGTGGGGTTTAACGTCCCAAAACCACAATATGATTATGAGAGACGCCGTATAGTGGAGGACTCCGGAAATTTTGACCACCTGTGGTTCCTTAAAAAGCACCTGAACCTGAGCACACGGGCCTACTGCAATTTCGCCTGCATCGAAAATGCAGTTGCCGTAGCCGGGATTTGATTCCGCGACCTGTGGGTCAGCAGCCGAGTACCTTCCAGCTCTCCGAGATGATCGCCTCATGCTCTATCTAGCCACCACTGCGATCAGTATACAGACCCTTTGTTTTGACAACTGACATCACGTACAGCGACGCTAAGTCGGGCTTTTCTTTTCGGGCGTCAGTATAGTTGACGTGCCTGGTAAGCCCACGATCAATGCAGCAGCCAGGAATGAAGAAGGGGAAAACTCCGCCAAGCTAAACTGTTGCTTTCTCAAATAGGTGCCGCCAAGTTTTTTCACTTATGATGACGCACAGCGCCAGCGAAATCGGTGCTCTTAGCAAGCTTCGCTCCAATATTGATTATTGCTGACAAATATTTCCTTATTTTCGTAGCCCCGCCGCGGTGGTCTAGTGGCTAAGGTACTCGGCGGCTGACCCGCAGGTCGTGGGTTCGAATCCCGGCTGTGGCGGCTGCATTTCCGATGGAGGCGGAAATGTTGTAGGCCTGTGTGCTCAGATTTCGGTGCACGTTAAAGAACCCCAAGTGGTCCAAATTTCCGGAGTTCTTCACTACGGCGTCTCTCATAATCATATGGTGGTTTTGGGACGTTAAACCCCACATATCAATCATCAATTCCTATTTTCATATCCTGTGTTCACTGCCCCTTCTCTTAAGTCGTTCGATCTACGTACGATATTTCACATGACTATCAATCATTTTTTCTTCTCTTTTTTTCTGTACAATTAGTGTCCTACAGGAGTGTACCGTGACGCAACTCCTGGAAAGGGTCGGGCTGCGACGATGTCTCCTTGGTTTCCCGACATGAGCTACCTCCGCCACAAGCCGTGTCGCGGAACGTCGTTCCGGTGGTCCCTGTTCCCGTTTCTCGCAGTGGTGACCTTGCTCACGATGATGCTTCCTCGTGCGACCGCCATGGAGAACGGATGCAACCACTACTCGTGTACTGCGATGTGCGTCGGCAAAGGGTTCGACGATGGGAAATGCAGCCGCGCGCATGACTACCGAGACATGTGCCGCTGCGGGTACATCCTTGGAAGAGCGCCGAAGGAGCCTCCTGCCGAGGTGGAGTAGCATAAACGTACGGACGTGATCGAGGGAAAGAGATGACGGGCTCACACTGAGTCGCATCCACGTACGAGTAAAAAGAAATAAACTTCGAACGGATGGAAAATTCCGGCGCTAATGTCATTCTTCAGTAGGTCTCTAGCTCGAAATACACGTTTAATGTAGCTATACCGTCTTGAAACCTAAATAAGAGCTTAGCCCGGATAAACCAGTGACTCCATGGGCAACCATGCGCTTGTCACTGCCTTGGCAATCGCGGGCTTACCAAGGTGCTGGCCCCCTCTATTGTGCGGCGCTGGTCTCAGCCGGATGTTTCAGAATAGTTTTCGGAAATTTTAGGTAAATTATTTCGATTAATTCTTGCTTATTTATGTAGTTTATGGTATATTATCTTTTTTTTTTGCACTGGTTTTCAGAATTGCAAGCCTCGTTTTATGCATGTTTTGAGCACCGTGTGGCCAAGCGATATGGCACAGTGGAAGCCGGGCCCCGTAAGTGCTACATGCTTCAAGCTTTATTCGAGTTCGGCACAGGGCGTTGCCTCCTACCTGGCTGGCTAGTCCCATGTTGGGACAGGGAGGTCAAGCCTACTACCCCTACAACCAGCGTGCTGGAAAGTCAGGAGACCTGAGGGGCATGAACAGGTTCATGTACGGGGCCTTAGCAATGAACATATTTGTGCTCGAGGAACGGACGGACATTGGTTTCAAAACTCTGATTGGACTTACACCTGATTAATTAATTAATTAATTAATTAATTAATTAATTAATTGATTGATTGATTGATTGATTGATTGATTGATTTTTACATATATTTTCTAACATGTGCTAAAACCTGCCATTCGTGAGTGAGCGTTTCCAGTGTCCATATTTCTTTCCTGGTCCTACTTCTTTCTTTTCATCTTGTAAGTTTTAATCCAACCTGTAGTTACAGAACCAAAGAAAGTTGGTATGTGCATATCGTGCAAGCTATGCGCACATGGTCTAGTGGATGTGTTTCATTTTACAAATGCCGTTTATTTTTAAAGCCCTGTTAACCATACAATTTACTCGTAAACAGCGTCAAATGACATTGATTCCTAATCCTTCCGTGAATTTACGGACAGTGCTCACCTTTTAGGCAACCAATTTGTACAGCTTTTTATTTATGCCAAAGACGGGCTGACGATAAATGATAATAATAAAATAAATAATTAAGTGACACTTCTGAGCCGCTCAGCAGGTGGACAAGTGCAAATCGTAGACAGGCCATCGCACCTAAACACTGAAGTTTGTGAGTGAATCACACAGTAATCTTCCCGAGTTCACTTTATCTGAGAAGCGCTGGCACGCTGCAAAGGGAAAGTTGAAGCGGGAGGCTAATCGCGGCGGCTGCTGTGGCGTGCCAACTTTTCCCATGAGCGCTTCCACGCGCTTTGGCGGCGCTAGTGCGTTTTAAAAGGGTTGATTGATTGATTTGTGAAGTTTAACGTCCCAAAACCACCATATGATTATGAGAGACGCCGTAGTGGAGGGCTCCGGAAATTTTGACCACCTGGGGTTCTTTAACCTGCAGCCAAATCTGAGCACACGGGCCTACAACATTTCCGCCTCCATCGAAAATGCAGCCGCCACAGCCGGGAATCGAACCCGCGACCTGCGGGTCAGCAGCCGAGTACCTTAACCACTAGACCACTGCGGCGGGGCGCGTTTTAAAAGGGTCTATTTTTGTTAGTTGGCGTCAAAAGAGCGTAAAGCAAGCCTATGTAAAGTTGATATTAATATGTGAAAATGCCTGATTGTAACGTTGATGATGATGATGTTTAGAGTTTAATGGCGCGATTGTAACGTTGACTCGAACAGGCAGTTTCGAATAGAAGATGAGCCAAGTGCTGCATCTGATTCAATTAAACTGAGCCGCATTTATTAAACCAGCGCTGCGTGGTCAATCTTCACCAAAACAATCAACATGGTTTCACTCAATCTGTTTAATTAGTGATTCAGTTGCTTGGCTATAGTGCCTATATACACCAAAATAAGTTATCTTTTTTTTAAGGCGAGTTGGCGCTTACTGAAAGATATAATGTTGCTTTGCAAAACTTGAATATAAAGAGTTAGATGTTCACTTTTCTGCTTTTTTCTGCCTCTTAGTGTTTCTTTTAGAATATAGCTCTCTATATACACTGTAATGTCTTTCTTTCGATCAAACATGGTATAATTAAAATAAAGACACGGAATGAAGATAGTGGGGACCGATCTATTTCTTGAAAAAAAAACGACGTATTCTGAAACGGCACCGCATAAAATGCGCTCTCACCGGAAGAAGAACAGTAGCATTTCTCGGGGCCTATAGTAGATGCATGCCATGAGCAAGAAAACACAGCCGACAATCTACCTCTTGCGCTGAAGGACCACTCGCTCTTGATGTCTACTCATCGCCGTTACGACCGACGGAACTACACGAGTAACATTAATTTTTTCACACAATATTGCCATACCGTGCATTCGAATCGTTTTAAATTTCTTTTAAAAGATAATACAGATGCTTGGGCTAGTTGGTGATTGGGAATCAACATATTTGCACAGAGCAAGACTACGGGTAGTTACGACGCAACTACATAAGAAGAGACAAGGACAGAAAGAGTGCTAAATTCAACTGAAATTTTGAGTAGGTCGCTTGCTCTGACTAAAAAAGAAATTTAGTTTCTGGCTTCGACACAATAGATCGTGAATTTGTGCTGAACTGTGGCGTCGTAACCATATAATGAGATGATGATTGTCTTGCTGTGATGCAATAGGTTGTGTGATCGCGGTGATGTTCTGTCACGAGTATATATTTCCAGCGTTTTCGCTAATACAATTTCAGTTGAAGTCGGCGCTTTTTCTGTCCTTGTCTTTTCTTCTGTAGTTGCTTCGTAACTACTCGTAGTCTTGAGCTGTGCAAATAAGTTGATTCTTTTAAGAGCCAATTCAAGCCCAAATGAAATGTTAAATTCTATAAGAGCCAAATACAAACTTTACTCCTGACTACAGGCGATAGTGGGCCATATGAATTTCGGCCGCAATATAGAATAGAGGTATTTATGGTACAGATACACAATGGCGAAAATTTGCTGGAGCAGGCTCCACAATACTGTGAGTAGCACAAAAAAAAAAACGTGGCTCATCTATCTCCCCCCCGGCCAGCCTAGAAATCGGTATTACACGAAAGAGAAACGTGTTTTTACAGAGGTAGTTGAAAATTTATTGTGCATTGTTTCGGCACAAGGACACAGTAATTAATGCTACAGCAACAAAAAAATTGCAATGCCACGCAAAAAAAACTACAAGCAGCTCTAAACTTGCAGCGCACACCTCAAGCAAAAAGCACGCACGAAACGAACAAACACAGGGTGAGTGCGGACAAACAACTGCCACAGCTCGACACTTAAAGCACACCAAACAGAAAGATACACGAAATGAACGCGCAGGTATACACGGGACATGCACGAACAATTGTCACAATTCTTACTTCGTGTGTGAGCAGTGTGCTCCTTTTGTAAACGCGTCCGCAGAGTGACGTTCGTCCTTCCTTCAACTATTGCAACTTCAAAGCAAGCTTGCGGTGAAAGAACTAGACGTACAATGCGCCCGAATCCCGAGATAAGCGCGCGCCTGAGTGAACCACCACGCTACATCTAAGCACACTGTGATGGCTAGAATAACCACGCCATGTGGAGGCGTGTGGGCATAGTGACGCGTGGAGTGGCGCGCCCCGACGACCTTTTTAAAGCGCGCGCGCCCGTCGTGCCATCTCGCTACTGATGACGAAAGCGAGCTTAAGTTCCTTAGCTCTGAGTGCACCAGCGGTACATGGTGTATATAAATAGCTCATCGGTAACAAGTCTGAGAAGGTTTGCTTTGTGGCATAGTTATTAGCCTCGCACGCTGGAGAGCGCGAAATTGCTGGTTGAACGCCCTGCCATAGAGAAACGTATACATAAAAACAGACACTCCCGTAGGGCCTTGCGGTCCAGCTACTGCACTGCTTTTAGCGCCACGAGGGGTTGTTCAGACCCGATAATGTCTTCAGCATGAATATAATATCAAAAAGTTTTTCTTTCCAACGCTGGGATTTGAACCCGTACTCTCATGCTCCGAAAGCGAGTGTGCTCACCACTATAGGCTACACAACATACTTCCACAAAGAGAATACATGTAGTAGAGTACATTTAAACCACATGAATGTGCCTCTTTGTGCAAAAGAAATGCACAAAGACAACACTTTCTAGTCATATTTTACTGTTTTATGTTGTAAGGCATTAAGCGTCCTCTGCGGGACATGCTCTAGAGCGGATATGAAAAATTGCACAAATAAATAAATTTTCTACTTTGCAAGAATTGATGCCAAACTTGGGTACCCACTGCCCTCCTGAGGCGGCCATTACATCTAGCGGTTGGTCATACCTCTTCTACGCTGGGCCGCGAAAGGCTCGAGTGGCCACTTTTATATATAGTAGGTTTCTCGCCCCGCTGCGAAATATTTCCGTCTCGTTTTACAGCGAAAGCTGTGATGAGCTCACAACTTGGGTCACACGCAGTTGTCCGCCGCTGCCGCCACCGCCGGTGTCCGTAAACACATCGCGCAAAATTAGAAAAAAAAATCTAGCATTAAAGACACAGTGGGTTTCGAAACGCGGATTGGCTGGGTGCCTGTCAGTATTTTACCACTGAGTTATGGTGGCGTAACTTAGTGGTAAAATACCTTGTGACTTGTTGGCAAACCTAGCACTAAAGACACAGGGGGGCTCAAACCCTAGTCCGCTGGATGCCAGCCCAGTATTCTACCACTGAGCTACGCTGGTGCTTGTGACTTGTTGGCAAACTTGCCTTAGGCAGGCTTGATTTCGGGAAAGCAATCGCGTCAATACGACTTATAAATCGTTTTAAAGCAGCGAAAGAACAACCAGCCGTCGCCCAATGCGAATAGCGTAACGATTGGGCCGTCCAATGCTCCAACGCATTACAAAAGCTTATTTTTGTTTTTAACTGTGGCGCCTACCCATTTCAGCCATAATTCCTCATCGTCGTCAGCCACTGCATGAACAACTTGGCACGAAATTCCTTGCAAGTGTTTTGTGGATACCA